CCTACAAAGGTTTGAGCTGGACGAGTTATCTTTAAGATAATTAAATATAAACATTTTAACCAGGTTTGCAAACAAAATCGAGCTGGTTACAATTACAGATATAAATGTCCTGTTAAATATGCTATAGGCATCAACCAAAAACATTCAAAGGTGTAACTAGTTATCAAAAGTCCAAGTATAGTCCTCGACAATACTTCCATTTATACGTGACCTGGGATTTACACGTTTAAGCTTCCGCAGTGCCAGGACTATATCCAAGGAAACGACTTCCAGCCAACGCTTTACTAATTCAAGGCTTTTGCCACAATTTCCACGTATTAGTCATTTATACCTGTATTCCGCGCGCGAGGCTCAAACCATTGTAGACTACTCAAAGCTATTTTTACTATTACTACTACAAAATCAAAAAAACTAAAAATCCATCATCACCATCGAGGCAAACAATGTAGTTTTTTGTATATGCTACACAAATTACTAAAATGTCTTGATGACAGTCTCCATACAAACTAATCCGTTAGTGATAACTTTGTCAAGATACATGATTTATCCATTCATAAAAAATTAACTGCTCAATAAACAGCTTTTACATGTGAAATGCAGCGTCTCTTGAATTCTGTAAGTGTAGTTGCACGCTTGATGTGTCTAGGCATCGAATTGAAAACATTTATACCTTTGAAAAATAATGAATTTTGTGAAGCATTATTCAAAAGATAGACCCTACCGATAAGTGAATTGAGTTCCTCTGTTATATTCAATTAGAGGATGTTCGTGAAATATACAGTCAAGCAGCACGTAATGCTGTGAACAACTACAATTACAGTTGTCCAGCAGTTCTCCCATTTAATTTAATGATTAATCCAATGCCTACGAGATTGTGCCGAAGGTGTGTCAATGGATGTACCCAAGCTGTGCCGTATCTAGTTTCTTCTCACTGTGTTGAGTGACTTACCCCTTAATTTTTGCACTTAATTACACTAGTTTACAGCATTTTTGAACTCGGTAAGGTGATGATCATTTCCAATGCAAAATCCTACGCTGAATTCAATGCCGTGGTCAGAAAAAATTAAAGTAGAGCCATTTTTGAGATATACAAAAATTTTTATTTTTTGAATTTTGGACAAAAGTACGATTACTAAAATGCCAATATCTTTGGAACTAGTGCACCAATTTTAAATCTTTTTTTATGAAAATGAAGCTAAATATTTGCTATTGTTCACTACAATATTATGTCTTAATAAAAAATTTAATTTTGAATGCATTTAAAAATTTACAGCATTTTTTTATTTTTCCTGCGAATTTTCCATAAAAATCTTGCTTTAATCAACATTTTTAATGGGATAAAAAGATTCAAAAAATCATTCCATAATTTATTCTTAAAATTCATTCAAAACCGGAGAAAATGAGCCTTTAATGGATGAAATCGGTTGGAAATTGTCGAAGTTATGAGCATTTTTGTAAAACACTTAAAAATGTTGCTGAAATACAACAGCTTTAGAGTTCCTTTTCTAGGTGTCGTTGTAAGCATCCAAATCGCATGTAAAGTTTTCATGGGAGATTCTTTTCTCTACATATCAATTTGGTTAAGGCATATCAGGATTTTAAACGAGTTGATGCAAAAGAAATTTATTTAGGTTTTATTAAAAATGATTGAGAATCGAATGACTTTGTCTTCGATGTTTTGAACTTGTTTCTCGAATCAGAAACCAACAATAGTCACCCATCATTGCTTCATCCCAAAACCCTTGGTAACGACGTTCCATCATCTTCATTTGTTGGTGAAAACGTTCGCCGTGCTCATCACTCTCGTCACCAAGATTTTCCGGGAAAAAATCCATGTGAGAATGTAGGAAACGTATCTTCAAAGACATATTCACACCTGTGTTCAGTGAAATAAAAGGATTTGAAATTAATTATATGTAACAAACACAATATTTTTGATTTATACCTATTTTCTCATAATTTTTGAGCAATTCATCGACGGCTTCCTAATAATCTGGGCTTCTGAAATTTCCTAAAAAGGTTGTGACAACACGCTGGAACGATTTCCACGCTTCTTCCTCATCTGGTGTCAAAACTGTATTGAATGCGGAATCATTGAGCAGTTTTTTGATCTGTGGGCCAACAAATACACCTTCCTTTATCTTTGCGTCAGATAAATTTGGAAATACTGATTTCAAGTACTGGAATGCCGGCCCTTCTTTTTGCAACGCTTTGACGAAATTTTTGAATAGCCCAAGTTTTATATGTAGTGGTGGAAGTATTATGCGTTCTTTTACCACAAGATGATCATTTTTAACGTTGTCTTTACCAATTGTGAAATTATCCCGTTTTGGCCAATCATCTTTTCGGACGTAGTGTTCCTTACGAGCTGACTGTCCCATTTACACAAAAAACACATATATTTTGTGTATCCCTGTTGCAATCCAGTCAACATGGCAACCACTTTAAGATCGGAACAAATTTTCCAATTGTGTTGATTGTAATTTATCAAATTGAGCAATAGAGCCATTGATTCATACGTTTCCTTCATATTAACGGCATGAGCTAATGGAATAGAAGGTTTCTCATTCCCTTGCAGTAAAACGGCTTTCAAGCTCAACTTGCTGCTATCGATGAATAAACGCCATTCAGCTGGATCATATGGCTCACCAAACTCTTCAAACAAGCCGTTTACGTCATGGCAAAAACATGCCTTGTCCTTTGTAGAATAATATTTGTCAAATTTCTTGTGACGATTCTTGTGACAAGAAATTTTGACCTCCTTGCTCAGCATGTTGTGTTCTTTCAAGCGTGATGCCAGCAATTCGGATTTCTCCTTCGATAAGTCGAGATCTCGCACCAAATCATTAAATTCGGATTGTGTAAACAGTTTTGGGTTTCTTTCCAATTCCACCTCGAAGTCTTCCTCGCATTCCTCCTTGAATTCCTCCTCACTTTTTGTAACGGTCGATTCAACAGAGGGCGCTCGTTTCCGCTTTGGATAAACAGGATACGGGACCGAACTTGAATGTGGAACAGGTTTTGTCATAGAAGCCACTTGTGGATACTCAACTGTTTTGTGACGTCCTTGTTGCTTAACTTTTGTCAAGCAGAAATAACAATCCGCTGCATGACAAAACGGTCGACGCCATATGGTGGGCATGTCAAAGGACAAATAGCGACTGACAGATAACAAATAAGTGAGTTAGTAAGTAAGACATTAACACTTATCAAAAATAGATGAAGTAAGATAATGTCGATCAGGAAAGAACAAAGCACTACCATGCTGTACATAAATTGTTTATATGAAAGTTATTCAAAAAATCAATTTACCTTGCGCCTGACATCCACCTAGCCAAGCACGTTTTGCACGAACTACATAATACTTTTGGAATCCACGGTTCGTCAAAGTCTCCAGGATCATTTTTAAAATAAAGCCTGTATGCAGTTTGCAACGAAGCAGTAAAATTGACCGATTTTGTAAATATATAGTTGCCACACGCGTAACAAAACTTTTGAGGATCATTTTTACACTTGAATTCACGTTTTGTCGTATAGATCGTTAAGCAACATTTTCAACAATATAATTTACGCTAGTGTTTGTGAGACCGCTCGGCGAGAACCTAACGCAACCAACTTAATTTGACAGCTTTCTTTCTTTAACATTTGTTAAAGAAAGAAAGCTGTCAAATTAAGTTGGTTGCGTTAGGTTCTCGCCGAGCGGTCTCACAAACACTAGCGTAAATTATATTGTTGAAAATATCCCATTTAATTTTGCGTGACAGCTGGTAGTGTTAGTGAAATGCACCGTATGCGTACACGTCCGCAGAAAGGCTTACTGGAAGTGGTGCATGAACCTAGGAGCGGGACAACGGCCAATCTTGGAACATTCAATTTCCATGATTTTACAAAACATTTCATAACTTCGACAATTTCCAACCGATTTCATCCATTAAAGGCTCATTTTCTCCAGTTTTTAATGGACTTTAAGAATAAATTATGGAATGATTTTTTGAATCTTTTTTATCCCATTAAAAATGTTGATTAAAACAAGATTTTTATGGAAAATTCGCAGGAAAAATAAAAAAAATGCTGTAAATTTTTAAATGACTTCAAAATTAAATTTTTAATCAAGACATAATATTCTAGTGAAATTTATTTTACTTCATTTTCATAAAAAAAGATTAAAAATTGGTGCACTAGTTCCAAAGATATTGACATTTTAGTAATCGTACTTTTGTCCAAAATTCAAAAAATCAAAATTTTTGTATATCTCAAAAATGGCTCTACTTTAATTTTTTCTGACCACGGCATTGAATTCAGCGTAGGATTTTGCATTAGAAACGTTGGTCAACCACTAAAGTTCACACTTTTTATGTTGTTTTGTAAACTAGTGTTATTTTCAAGACTCACTGATATTCTTGGATTTTAAATATCATTTTTCTTTATGTTTGATATTCTGAGAAAAAATCTAGATCATTGCGAATGTAAAAAAAAAATGAAATATTCAAAGGAATTGTGTAAGCATTCTCATGATAACTTAAGAAACTTTGTAAAATTGGGTTCTTATAGGGATGGGAATTTTAGTAATTTCGCATATCTTTATGACAGAGTGAGAGACATTTCTCGATGTAAGAGACTCTTCCTTAATCCAGTTGGGAGCAAAGAGTCTTCCATACCAATTGATGAATCTACGTTACGGTCGGCCAGCAGATGGAAATGATGTGAAAATGATAATGACGTTTTGCTAGCTGTCAAATCGTATGGAATATTTTTTAGTACATCATCACTTTTGTGGTTTTGGATTTCAAACCAAGGTGTCGCATGCACTGGTGCAGTTTCGCGTAGATTCATCAATTAACTGATTGAACTACGGTGTGAATCCAACGAACCGTTTTACAGAACAATTTGTGATATAAAGCTATAATCTTGAGCATCAAAAAGCTATTAATCATTAAAAATGAAATTAATTCAATCATGACCCGTACCAATTACCATGATCCGTGGTTGTAACAACTTACTTGGGCGTAACCAAATCCAGTACATTGCTGTCTACCAGGTCTGCCAGCTTGGAAATCCCGAGCGGGCTGTGCGGCGCTGCATACGCTCTCTCCTCGACCACTTCCTCGTTGCACTGGCAGTACGCCGTGGACACGTGAATGAAAGCGATCAGTCGTTTCATTTGTTCCGCCAGCTTCAGTACCCTCATGGTTCCGTTGGTGTTGAAATTGACCGCCTGCTTCAGTTCCTGATCGAACCGCACATTTGCCGCACAGTGGAATATGACTTCCACATTGTCGATCAGTTCCGCCCGGTCCGGCTCGGTAATTTCCAACCCATCGCTCAGAATATCACCGCGAATCAGTTTGACCTTGTCCAGCTGAGCGCGGTTCGTTTCGCGAATACGATCGAATACCAGATGCTTGAGGTAGTCATCCCTGCGCTGTCCAGCATCGATGCCCTTCTTGGTGCGAATTAATAGGTATATGCACTTGAGATCAGCGCAATCGCGGAGCAACTTTTCCACAAGGACTTTGCCCATGAAACCCGTTGCACCGGTTATGAACAACGATAGGCCCGCATACGTGTCCGATACGCTCCGGTAGTGATGCTGACGGTTGTGTGGGGACATAATTTGTTCCATCTTCCTTTGCTAGACCGACGACGAATGTAGGTCACCTCGTCTGAGACGAGGGCTGCTGGGGAGAGGGAAGAAAGAGTAGAGAACGCTCAGACAAAGGATATAATTGATGAGCAGTCGACAGATATTACTTGAAAGACGTGATTTGCTAATCACGCGCTGCGTGCCCTCCAAAATTGCCAAATCAGTGACAACTAGGCGCAATACTACTTTCAAAAATGCCTACTCTTTTGGCGGCGATGCGTTGATGAGAGCAATTTAAAAATCATTTAACACATGAGGCATTCTTTAAATATCATCACGATTCACAACGTCACTTGAGTCGCGTTGACGTAAATTTCTGATCGTTTTTTTATGCCTGGTTTTTGTGTAAAATGGCATTGTTGTCTGTCAAATGATTATGATCGATGATTCAATGTAGGACCGTGATCTATGATTTTCAAGTACAAGTTTGTCTATTGGCTATTTTTTGTATTATTATTGTTCGCGAACATGTTCACCTAACCAACACACATATTGCACTGCATCGCCGCTTCGAAACAGAATGTAATCGAACACGTGAAAAGGACTAAAATCTGTAAGTGAAATAACGAGTTTGTACCTTAAAATTAACTAAAAATAAAACTCTTATAGCTAAGAGCTAACCCAAAGCGAAACTTCGACGAGCGGTTTTCACTCCTGTGGACAATTATTATTATTATTATTATTATAGTCACATTAACTAATTTTTGGTCATTCGTGACTTGTACGGGATGAGATTTGAACTCGTGGCCTTCAGCGTGAGAAACATGGATGCTAATTTATTTTCGCTAATTTCAAATTTCAAATTTTTGGAGCAGTCGGATTTTCGACCAATTTGGGCAAAATAGGTTTCTCTTGTCTTCCAACTGGCATATATATAGACATTTTTTCGTTACAGACTTTTATAGACGTTTTAGTTTTTTCACAGATTTACAGACTTTTGTAATCAAGGGAAAAATTCAAAATTCATTTGGTTACACTGTTTTACATCTTAAACCTAAAGAGCCTGAATTTATAAAGAGACGACATCTTATCCATTTGACGGGTCTTCTGCTCGATTGGAATGACTTTTCCTATGACTTTGTCAGATAATCGGTTGTTCCAATTTTGACATGTCGTCTCTTTATAAATTCAGGCTCTTTACTTACACGCACAGAAAACAGACGTTCCAGTTCGGTCAGAAATTTGTGTAAAATAAGTGGGAACGTCGCCGTTACGTGGTCTTAGCATCTCCTGATTTTCTCTATAAATTTTCCACTTTCGACCAATTTGGCGGTAGTATCGATAAATTTTCTGTTGAAAATTGCCACTTGGCGCTACTAGCACTTAGTGTCTAGTGTAATTTGTGCAACGCCAGCGCCATCATGTTGTCAAAGAGGGTTTTTAAGTGGGGAAGTCGCCGTTAGTGGCGCTTAAGTCAAATAGGAATCTTTACACAAGTTTTTAGAGAAATTTTGTTCGAGCCTCAATGTCTGTTCTCTGTGGTTTTAGACTTTGAATACGTCAACTCACGTTGGCCGGTCTATAACTTGACTGTCTATAGTCGTTGTCACTGAAAATGTGTATGAAATGGACAGTGTGTTTCCATCCTATTCCATCTTTTTTTTCGATAACACTCACCCCCGGATGGAGTTTTAGCATAGAGGTAATTCTAAGACCAGTAGGTCCCGAAGAAACGTGCTCAACTTTTTGGCTCAGCTCTGGTACTCTCTTCGGTCCCAAGCTAATCGATGCACCCCTCGAAGTATTGGAAAATCCACGAACCAACCTTCATAGCAAATCAAAACAAACATAGTGTAGTACTAGAAGTTTGACTAGAATGGGGTATGTTAATCGATTTGCTTGGGACCAATAGGCTAGTCAAGTAGTGAGCCAATTTAAAATCGTTAATTTCTACCGGTTGGTTTAGCTGAACGAAGCAGCCATTTTCGCCGTTTTAAACCTGAATAAGAGTCGTAAAAATATGAAAAAAAAATGCGAAAAATCAAAGGGAGTCCGAGAGGAAACCCCATAGCGAACTTGTTCAAAGGATCAGGTAAGCTATAAGATAAGAAAAATCAATATAAATACTTGCACTAATCATTATGTTGAGTTCCATGTGATTTAAGATATCGCACGATGCATTTCGGTGGATGTCAGAATCTGTCCACTTCCCGGAAGTACCCGGTACATCAAAAAGAAACCATTGTGATCATTGGGTCTGAATATGTCCACCATATTGATCTTATAGAAAAATTCTAATGTGATTTGAGGTATCGCATGATGAGTTTTTGATATATCAATCTTTTGCGAATTCCCCAGTGGAAACATTTTTGTTCATATCTTCAGAACCATAATTCCGATCGCGAAAAAAAATCAATAGCGATCTTTAGCAGGGCCCCACAAAGTCACTTTCAATCGAAAATCGTCAAGCGACGATGAAGCTGTCAACCATCACTTTCAATTGAAAGACATTCTGTCTTCTCTTCGAGCAGATCCCCCTCAACATCAACAGAACCACTTTCGATCAGTTTTCATGCTGTTTGTTTTAGCTTGACTCGTGTTCATTTCTTCTTTCATTGTCAAATGAACTTACTTTTGCATGCATTGAAGCAAAGCTGTTCGATCCAAATACGTGCAGTTTTTATGACTTTTGTTGCTTGTTCACTCGGTTCGTTTTGGTTCAGATCTGTGCACGTGGATGTCAAATTTACCATTGTCGAGTGGTTTGTTTACCCATCAATATTATAGTCGCTATATTCATAGTCTGGCGGATAGAATCTCGGGAACCAATTGAGCTGTCAAATAGCGGAACGAATCGAGCAAATCACGACCAACAACAGAAAAGAGCACATCAGCTATTGCGAACAAAACTTTGGAAACCATTTTCTCGTGATTCAAGGCTCGCCTACGCAAACTAACACTATCTTTGGGTCTTTTGGAAAGATTCCCCTATCTGATGATGCCGGTAATTTGCGATCGATTGTCGAGGAAAGAATAATCAACGTTTGGTTAATAAAAGTGTATAGGACCTTTTCAATTGTTGGTCTATAATATATTGAATTGGTTCCACTTTTTGATAGCTCGAAATTCTATCCGCCAGACTATGAATATAGCGACTATAATCAATATGGGTATTTGTTTACTCGGGGTGAAAATTGATATCCGACGCCATTTTGAAATTGAAGATGGCGGCTTTCAATTTACGAAAAAGTGGAAATACAGTCCAATACACATCAATATTAGTATTTTTGTAATCGGGATGATGTCAAGAGGCTGGGAATCGATATTCGACGCCATTTTTAAATCCAATATGGCGGCTTCCTATTTCAGAAAAAATGGGAAATGCTGATGCTGTCCTATCAATATGGGTATTTTTGGAATCGGGGTGAGGTTTGGAGATTGGAAATCACTATCCGACGCCATTTTGAAATCCATGATGGTGGCTTCCGGTTTGAGAAAAAGTTTTAAATTCTATCAAATACCCTTACAAACGGTTTTTTTTAGCATCAGGGTGACATCTAGAAGTCAGAGATAGATGTCCGACGCTATCTTGAAACTCAAGATGGTGGCTTCCGATTTCATAAGAAGTGTCAAATAGCCTACAAATAGCATCGAATATCGATTTTCAGCATCTACGCGTCGTCCTCGTTTCGAAAATGCCCAGATCTTAGGGTATTTGACACTTTTTGTGAAACCCGATGGCCGCCATATTGGATTCCAAAATGGCATCTGATATCGATTTTCGTTTCACACGTTGTCCCCATTCCGAAAATACCCATATTATAGTTTGACACTCTCTGAACCCTCATGGCCGCCATATTGGATTCAAAAGTGGTATCTGATATCGATTTTCGGCATCTACGCGTTGTCCCTGTTTCAAAAATAACCTTATTGTAGGGTATTTGACACTTTTGCTGGAGTTCAACATAGCATCGGATATCGATTTTCGGCAGCCACGCGTTGTCTCCGTTCCGAAAATACCCATATCTTAGGGTATTTGACACGTTTTATGAAACTTGTTGGAACATCTTAGATTCCAAAATGGCGTCGAATATCGATTGTCAGCATCTACACGTCGTCCCCGTTCCGAAAATACCCATGTTGTAGGATAGTTGACACTTTCTGAATCCTTATGGCTGTCATATTGGTTCCGAAAATACCCATATTTTAGGGTATTTGATACTTCATAAAACCAATGGCCACTATCTTGAATTCCAAAACGGCGTCGGATACCGATTTTCAGCATCTACGTGGCATCCCCGTTCCGAAAATATCATAGTGGGGGCTCACAGACAAACAGACATAGCACATTGAATATTTATCACTGTAAAACATCGTCGCTAAAAAAAACGGCGCCGGTGGTGTAGTGGTAAGCGTGATTACCTCTCACCCCAGCAGGCCTGGGTTCAATCCCAGTCGGCGCCGCCGGGATGTTCGGAGGCATAACATCTCTGATCACGCCTTCCTTCGGAAGGGAAGTAAAGGCGTTGGTCCCCGGTTCATGAGTTGATGGGTCGATAGGTAGGGTCCAGGTGTGGGAGCTGTCTTCCTGGCACGTCGGTAGCATTGGTGCTCAGCACGGAAAACAAGATCGACGGAAAAAACAAACCAAAGGAAAAAAAAATCGTTGCTAAAACATTACCACCATCTGTTGAATACACTGTGGTGGGTAGTACGCTGAACAGATGGTGGTAGTGTCAACGCAAGGCGATTGACAGTGCGCGCTACAGGTGGTGGTACTACCAACTACGATACTTTTAAATTGACCGTTAAATGCTTGTTCGATGAACAACTTGTGAGTGTTATGTCTGTTTGTCTGTGGTGGGGTATTTGACACTTTTTCTGAAACCAGATGGCCACCATTTTGGATTCCAAAATAATGTGGAATATCTATTTTCGGCACCTTCGCGTCGTCGGTATTGTGTGGATACTATCCGGATACTATATTTTTATACCTGCGTCGTCAGGTCGTGAGAAGTCGAATGAGCTCCGAATTGAAGTAAAAGAGGAAAAATCGAAGGAAGCAGTTTTCGAGTCATTCATTGCGTCAATTGA